AGAGGCGGCCTGGGGATCCAAGGAGGGGGGAGAGTTACGTTGGAAACATGGCTAAAAGGGGGGCAGGCAGGAGTCAGGGAACCAGGGGATCAGGAGAGGGGCACCAGGAGCAGCATCAGAGCAATGGGGAGAAATCCTATGGGGACTGTGGGCCATAGTGAGAGAAAGAGGGAGGGATGAAGAAACAGGGAGAAAGGAGATCACAGCTGCCAAATCAAGAGCGTGTCTGTCTCCTTTAGGATTTCAAGTCCCCCCCCCTTGCCACTGGTGGGGGATGGGGGGGGATAGGATTGCCAAATTCGGATTTGGGCATGGAGCCTGGGGAGGAGAGGGACCTTCAGTGGGGAACAGTGCCATAGAGTCCAGCCTCCGAACCATCCTTTTTCACCAGGAGGATTCATCTCTGTAGTCTGGAGATGAGCTGCATTTCCAGGGGATCCCATATGGAGGCTGGCATCCCTCGTCTCCTCAGGGGCCCTAGTTGGTTAGATGGAGTATATGGCCGAGTCACAGACCTCAGGGCTATTTTTGGGCAGGAACGCACAGGAACGGCGTTCTGGTTGGCTCCTGAGTTGGCCACGCCCAGTAGGAACTCATTAGCATAATAGGCCACACCCTACAGCAGAAACTCATTAGGACTGGCTACATTAGGGGTGTGTGGCCTAACATGCAAAGGAGTTCCTGCCAGTGTTCCCTCTAAGCTGAGTTAGTGTGAGCTAGCTCACAGTTTTTTAGCCTCCGGCTCACACATTTTTGCCTTAGCTCAGGAAGGCTGGCTCCAGAGCAAACTAATTTATGCAATAGCCAAATCGTTCGCTCACAACTTTAATGCCAGTAGCTCACCAAGTCGGATTTCTGCTCACAAGACTCCACGGCTTAGAGGGAACATTGGTCCCGGCTACAAAAAAAGGCCCTGGGTTTTGACAACAAACAAGGTAAACAGAATAAGAAGCAAAAGGTGGGTGTGGCTGGATGACCACACTTCTGCGAACATGGGGTGTGCGGCCTAATATGCTAATGAGCTGTGCTGTCAGGGGTGTAGCCTAATATGCTAATGAGTTTCAGCTGTTGGGTGTGGCCTGTTATGCTGATGAGTTCCTGCTGGGCTTTTTCTACAAAAAAAGCCCTGCCAGACCTGATACACTTCATCTCCCATATCTTTTTTTTGGGGTGTATGTGTCTTGTGAGAGTGAAATCAAGTCACACGGCCTTATTTGCTAGTTCTAGGATTCAAGTAACTTATTTCCTTTGCCCACATTTGTTTGGAACAATGCAAACTGTGATCTGGGATTCACTGAAAAACAACCATGCGGTACTCGCTTACAGATCTGTTAAGGAGGCTGCAGATGAGTTTGCCCCTTTTTGACTAACTCAGGAAGCAGGCCAGGTTTTTCACCTGAATGGGGTCAAGACATTTCGCTGAAGAAAATCCCTTTACGTCTCCAGCGGTATCTGTCCTTTGTTGTCACAAAAACTGACCATTTCTTGTCACTGGAATCTGAAATTATCTTAGCAAATCAGGATCATTTAGAAGGAGCTCTC